TGCTCTATTAGGATAAGAAAAAGACAAGCCACTGCCTGGGAGACAATATTTGCAAACCACTTGCCTGACAGAGATCTTACATCTAGAAAATATGAAGATTCTCAGAACTCAGCATTAAAAACAATCCAATTAGAAAGTAGGCAAAAGACAGACATTTTACCCAAGACATTCAGATGGTAAATAAGTACATGAAAAGTTGTTCAACATAATTAACCATTAGGGAAATGCAAATTAAAACCACAGTGAGATATCACTGCACACGGATTAGAGCAGCTAAAATTAAAAATAAAATAGTGACACCACCAAATTTTGGCAAGGATGCGATCCTCATACACTAGCCTCTTACATGACTGGTGTCGGTCACTCTGGAAAACAGTTTGGCAGTTTCTTAAAAATTAATAATGCATTTACCATCTGAACTAGCAATCACACGCCTGGCCATTTATCCCAGAGAAGTGAAAACTTAGGTTCATTCAAAAACTTGTGCATGAATATTCAGAGCAGCTGTATTTGTAGTAGCATAGGTTGGAAACAACCCAGATGTCTTTAAACGGATGAATGTTTAACAGGCTGGTGCATCCATGCCGTGGAACACAACTCAGCAATAAAGAGGACTGAGTGGCTGGCGCTTGGTGAGTGGCTGGCGCTTGGAACTGCCTGAATGGATCTCAAGGGAATTATACTGAGTAAAAAAGCCAATCCCAAAAGGTCACATATTACGTGATTCTATTTATGTTACATTCTGAAAATGACAGGATAAAGAGATGGATAACAGATTACCAGGTGCTAGAGACTTGGGACAGCATGAGGGAGGTCTTATGTGAAGAGACGGTTTTGTGTCTTGATGATGGTGGCAGGGGCTGCACAAACCCACCAGGTTTTGAAATTGCCTAGAACCTGAATAAGGTTTGTGGATGGCATTGATGTCAGCTTCCTGGTTTGGATATTGTCCTATAGTATGTCAGATGTTCACCATTGGTGAAGGGTACAGCCCTCTATCCTATCTTTGTCAATTCCTGTGAATCTGTAGTCATTTCAAAATAAAAATTAAAATAATCACCAACCAAACAGATACCTAAGGTCTCAGGACACTGGAAAATTAAAAGTTTTAGGACAGAAAAAGCTGTTCCATGCCACTGCTAACCCAAAGAAACCAGCGTGCCTGCATCAGAAGTAGACTTCAGTTAGAAACGGCCATGAAAGAAAGAAGGGACACCCGAGAAGAAAGGTCAGCGCCCCAGGATGATTTCCGGATTCTCTAGATCTGTAAGTTAGTATGCACAGCTTCCAGGTACATCAGATGAAAACGGACACAACTGAAAAACGAAGCAGACACATCTGTAATCACGGTGGGACCTGTGAGCACAGGGGTCCACAAACTGCAGCCAGTATGGCCAAGTGTGGCCTTTGGCCTGCTTTTGTGTGGGTCTATGAGCTAAGAATGCTTTTTGGGATTTTTAAAGGGTTAGTTTAAAAAAGAATATCTAACAGAAGCTATAGGGGCCTAAACTCTTCACTGTCTGGCCCCTGCAGAGGAAGTCTGTGGAGCTTTAACAGAGCCTCTCTCAAGAGCTGATAGGACAGACAGACAGAAGGTTGCTATGGATTCGAATTTCTGAACACATTTTTGAACACAGTGCACACACTCATCCTAACGGGCCTATAGAATTCTGCACCCAAAAACTATGGAGTAAACACTTTTCCAGTGCATATGGAAAATCTACCAGAATTGACTAGATGACAGTTCATAAAGCAAGCTTCTGCGAATTTCAGACAATTGAAATCATCCATCTTTTTTCTGTCCACAGTAAGCTAGAAATCAGTAATAACAATAAGTAAAAATTCTCAATTATTTGAAATGGAAACAGTACACTTCTAAATAATTCACAGGGAAAAAGGAGAAACCACAGTGGGCATTATAAAATATTTTGAATGACAGTGAAAATATTGTCCATAAAAATGTGTGGGATGCAGCTGAAAGCTATTCTGAGAAGGAAATTTGTAGAATTAAATGAATGTACTTGAAAAAAAAAAAGGCTGAAAATCAATGATCTAAGTATACATCTCTATAAATTACAAATAAAAAATCAAACGCGGAGTGTGTGGTAGGTAGGAAGGAAATAGTAAAAGCAGGAACTAGTGAAATAGGAAACGAATGGAGAATAGAGAAAGGTTTCTTTTTATGTCATTTGCAGGAGTTCTCCCTCCTTGCTGGTAGGGATTCAAAGTGGCGCAGCCACTCTGGATGGCTGTGAAGCAGTTTCTTACAAAGTTAAACGGGTCTTAGCACGCAGTCCAGTAGCTGTGCTCCTTGCTGCGGCCACACCACAACCTGTACACAGACGTTTCAGCGGCCCTATTCGTAACTCCCAAAACTTGGAAGCAGCCAGGTGTCCTTCGGTGGGTGATGAGATGAACGAACTGTGGTCTATCCAGACAGTGGAATGTCATTCATTACTAAAAACAAGTCTATCAAGCTATGAAAAGACATGGAGGAAACTTAAATGCGTATTACTGAGGGACAGAAGCCAACCTGAAGAAGCTGCTACTGTCTGATTCCAGCTATAGGAAGTCGGAAGAGGGAGAACAATGGAAACAGTAGAAAGATGAGCGCTTGCCGAGGGCTCGGGGGAGGGAGGGTGAGCAGGCAGCAGGAGGACTTTAGGGCAGTGCACCTGCTCTGGATGAGTCTCATGGTGGGTCCAGGTCATTATGTGTTTGTCCAAACTCGCAGAATGTGCACCGCCAAGAGTGAACCCTCGTGTCAGCTGTGGACTTGAGGGACGTGTCAGTGTGGGTTCATCGATTGTAGCAAATGTGTCCTCCAGGGACTGGCAGGTGGAGGCACTGATCTGTAGAGAAGCAGAGGGTATGTGGGAAATCTCTGCACCTTCCTCTCAGTTTTGCTGTGAACCTAAAACTGCTCTAAAAACATAAAGTCTTTTTTTCTAAGTTAATTTGAAAAGATGAATAAAACTGATAAACCTGTTATGAAATTGATCAAAAAAGGAGAAAGCACAAATTGCCAGTATACAGCCTGAAAAAGGGACATCTGTATACATAGATAATGCAGACTAAAGAGATGAGGGAACGTTTATACCAATGCATTGGAAACTTCAGGTAAAATGTGTGCCACGAAGCGTAAACGTGTGAAAAAATTTCAGGTAAAATGAACACATTCCTTGAAAAATACAACCTAATAAGACTGAGGTATGAAGAAATAGAAAACTTGAATGGTTCCATGTCTGCTGAAAACATTGAATCTGAGATGAAAACTGTGCCCACAAGGAAACCTCAGGATCAGAGGGCTTCCCTGTGAGTGTTTCCAGACCCCGAAGGAGGAACCAGCAGCTGTGCTGCGCCCATTCTTCCAGAGAGCAGAAGAAGGGAGGCTTTCCAACTGTTTCTATAAGTCCAGCAAAATCCTGATGCAAAAATCCAACAAAGACGTCACAAGAAATAAAAATGTAGGCCGTTCTGTTTCATGAAAATAAATTCAAAACTTCCAAACAAAATATTAACAAATCAAATCCAGCAATATATAAAACCAGTAATACATGATGACCAAGTTGGGTTTATGTTTAGAATGCAAGGTTGATTTAACATTTGAAAACCATTGTAAATAACAATGAATAAGAAAAAGCATAGAATGGATGCTAAAACAATACTGGCAGTCACCTTCAGGCTTCTGTAGGAAATGCACTTCTCACTACCACGTCCTGTTAGTCAGCATCTGCTGAGCCCTGTGTACTTGTATAATGATTGCTGTTTTTAAAAACAAGTGTTGTTTTGGATAATTTTGTACAACACAAAGTGTCGTACAGCACTATTTGAGGATAAAGTAGTACTGTGCAACCAAAATCATTGTGGTTAAACCTTAGATTAACTCTCGGATAATCTCAGTTCATGATAAATTTCTTACAATGGTTAGCAAGCTTCTATTTTAGTAAGTGAAACCGTAACTTCTAAAGGGGCTAAAATATCTGTTACTTTTCTCCTAATTTGTTTCAGTTTTATTTAAAATACCTCTTGGTTAATTTGCGCTGCATAGATAAGCCGGACGATGACGGATTCAGTTGCACTTACCTCATTTATGGATTCATGTGGACACTCGCTAGATATCAGTGTCACTTCCCCTGGGGCCAGTGTCAGCCAGGAGGCAGAGAGTGTCTCATGCAGCGTTCTTGCTAAATGCAGGAGCCCTCTGCGGCATCTTGGGATGACTTCCCTGTTTGAGAACAGTCAGAATGTTGGACATCAAGGTAAATTTGACAGTGAAAAGAAATATTTCATATGGGTATGATCTTAATTTGCAAAGATTATCAGCCTACCAACCTGGTGAGATATGTAAGCCGTTTTATTCTTAAATTGTAAGCATTCATTTAAAGTTAGATCTTTCGTAACAAATACTCATCATTACAACAATTATGATTTTTAAATACAATAAATTTAATAGTGTCTAAAATGATACTCTCTTGGCTTCCCTGTCTGTCCCTTTGCCTTCGAAGAAAGTTGTTCAGGAAAGAATGCACCCAGAAGTGAATGATCATGTGAGCTTTCTCCTAGTGGACCACAGTTTTCACCATGTCTGTTCTCAGCCCAGAGGTTCCTGGGAGGCAGGAGACTGCTCACGCCTGTGTGTGTGGAGCAGGCCTGAGTCAGCGGCTGAGGTTCAAACAGATGGGCGGATGGATGGGGACACTCTTAATGAAGAGGCGCCCTCGTTTCTGTCAGCCGAGCTTGCTTCCAAGGCCTCTGTCATCAGTAGAGCTGGTGAAGCTCAGCTTTGAGGACGCAGCCATGGTGATGCTGTCCATTCTGAGCGAGCTTCTGTAATCAGTACAGCTGGTGAAGTTCAGCTTTGAGGACGCAGCCATGGTGATGCCATCCATTCTAAGCGAGCGTCCGTTTGGAGCAGGGTAACTGTGCAGTGCTGAGATCTGTTTCCTGCGTGTGTGACTCCTGCCTTACATTTTTGGTGTGTGTTCTGGTCTCCACAGCCTGATTACATCAACCCCAGAGCCGTGCAGCTGGGCTCCCTTCTCGTCCGCGGCCTCACCACTCTGGTTTTAGTCAACAGCGCGTGTGGCTTCCCCTGGAAGATGAGTGATTTCATGCCCTGGAATATATTTGATGGGAAGCTTTTTCATCAGAAGTACTTGCAGTCTGAAAAGGGTTATGCTCTGGAGGTGCTTTTAGAACAAAATGTGAGTTCACAGACACCTGCCTTTCACCAGAAACTTCCCTGTAGTTCCAGGCCACACAAAAAACATGAAGTTGGCTGTTGCATTTTTCAAATTAATGCTTTCCAAATAAAGGATTCCATTATTCCATTAAACCAGGAACACATGATTTGAAGCATTTGGCTTCAGCGTCAACATAACTCATACAGGTTGAATAGCCCTTATCTGAAATACTTAGGACCAGAGTGTTTTGGATTTTGAATGTTTTTGGAATTTTGGAATGTTTGCATATACAGTTGATCCTTGAACAGGGCAAGGGTTAAGGGCTCCAAATCGTTCTGCAGTGGAAAACCTGCAGATAATTTTTGACTCCCCCAAAATGTTACTACAGAGAGCCTAGTGTTGACCAGAAGCCTTAACCAATAACATAAGCAGTCAATTAACACGCCATTTGTATGATACATGTATTATATACTGTATTCTTACAATAAAGTAAGTGAGCTAGAGAAAAGAAAATGTGATTAAGAAAATCGTAAGAGAAAACTGTATTTACTGTCCATTAAATGGAGGTGATCATCGTCACGTTGAGTGCATTAAATGGAGGTGATCATCGTCACGTTGAGTGCATTAAATGGAGGTGATCATCGTCACGTTGAGTGGGCTGAGGAGGAGGAGGAAGGGGGTGGGTCGTGCTGCCTCAGACGTGGCAGAGGCAGAAGAAAATGGGAGTGTAAGTGATCTATGCAGTTCAAACCCATGTTGTTCAAGGGTCAGCTGTACCTACATAATGAGATATCTTGGGTCTGAGACCCAGGTTTAAACGCAGAATTCATGTATGTCTCATATACACCTTATACAATAGCCCGAAGGTAATTTTATACAATATTGTTAATGACATGCATGAAACAGTGTTTTCACTGCATCCATCATGAGATCAGGTGTGGAATTTTCCGCTTGTAGCAGTTCTAGATTTTGGATTTTCAGATTAGGAGTGCTCAACCTGTAGCTTCTTCCAGAATTCTTAAATAGGGTTCAGGACTCCGAAACTTATGCTTAGGTAAGGCAAGCAGCATCACACCAGTCTGACACATTTTTAATTTTTGAAGTGCTTTTTACTCCTCTCCCTATTTCTCACACACACACATATGTGTACACATATATGTAATGCACATACTTTTTTTTTGAGACAGGGTCTTGCTCTGTTGCCCAGCCTGGAGTGCAGTGGTGCAATCTCCACTGACTGCAAACTTCCACCTCCTGGGCTCGAGTGATCCTCCCGCCTCAGCCCTCTGAGTAGCCGGGACCGCAGGTGTGCGTCACCATGCCCGGCTAATTTTTGTATTTTCTGTAGAGATGAGGTTTTTCCATGTTGCCCAGGCTGATCTTGAACTCGTGGGCTCAAAGTGATCCACCTGCCTCAGCCTCCCAAAGTGCTGGGATTACAGGCATGAGCCACTGTGACCAGCCCCTCTCCCCGTTTTTTAATGAGGAACAAGTACTCCCTGCGAAAGTGTCCCCACAGATGTCAGACTAATCCGATAGGTATAGTTATGGTTTATTACTTGAAAATACTCCCCAGAGACTGCCAGTTTAGTTGGGGACGCTGGCTGCTGTCCAGCTTTATAAATACAATCGCTACATGACTCCTGGAAGATTTCCAAATAAGGCCTCAAGCCAAGCTCATTTGGAATGTGTTTTAGTACCCGCAGGGATGCAGAAAGCGGTGTGATCCGTGAGAGAGCGTACCGGTCTGTCACGATAAAGCACTCCAAGCTTTCATAGCAGAGAGAACACATTTGGTAATGTGTTGCCATCACTGTTCCTCACATACACACACACACGGATTCCAGAGCGGCATAGGACTGCAAGTATTTAGAACTTAGAAGCAGCCTGAATTTTGTAGAGAGCAAAAGCAGAAGAAGAGGAGAAATATGCTTCTAATAAGCCAGTAAGTATTGGAAAGTAGGCTATAGAAATGAAAGCTGAAGTAGCCTTATTGGACCACAGCCTGTAAATCATCCATCAAGGATCTTTTCCTTTCTTTATCCAATCTCTTGACCGAGTTCCAAGTGATTCTAGGTTCTAGTTTGGAAAAAAAGGTACAGGATAGAATAATAGGAATAAAACAGGAAGCTTGGAGGAAAGGTTGAACGTTCCACGCTCCGTTTCTCGATCTGCTGATGTTGTTTTGTTTTTGTTTTTGTTTTCTGGCCTTGGCATTTCTGCTGAATGTTCTTATAATTAAGAATTGAAAGATTAAGATATATTAAATCCAAACATTTTTAAGGTAAGATTGTGTGGTAATCACCTAAATGGTCGTAATAGGACTTGAAGATTCTTTTTTAGAAATGATTGTTTAACCTACACAAGCTTCTTGGTGTTATTTTTCTGGGGGATTTAGGAGAATATGTTCTCGAAGAACCCCTTGGGATGTGGCCATGCTGAAGGAAAACTGCTGCGATTTGTGCCTGGGAGGAGGGTGCAGCCACCATTGCTGCCTAGCCTTGGGAGCGGCGTGGGAAGGGGTCCCATAAGCTTCCTTCCAGCCACATCTGGCCCCTCACATCTCATTTGCATCTGGTCTGTTTGCAGAGATCTCGGCTCACCAAATTCCACAACCTGAAGGCAGTGGTTTGCAAGGCCTGCATGAAGGAGAACAGACGCATCACCGGCCGAGCCCAATGGGGCTCACACCATGCAGGTGGGAAAGGGCCAGGTGCCTCAAGAAGCCCCACAGATGTAGACCCTAACTGCTTCCTGAGTTTTGTTGATAAATGAATTCTAAGAAGAGGCTGATACAATTGGATGAACAGAATAGAATTTAAATGATGGGGCTGGGTGTGGTGGCTTATGCCTGTAATCCCAGCAGTTTGGGAGGCCGAGGCAGGCGGATCTCCTGAGGTCAGGAGTTCCAGACCAGCCTGGCCAACACGGTGAAACCCTGTCTCTACTAAAAATACAAAAATTACCCAGGCATGTTGGTGGGCGCCTGTAGTCCCAGCTACTTGGGAGGCTGACGCAGGAGGATCACTTGAACCTGGGAGGCGGAGCTTGCAGTGAGCCGAGATCATACCACTGCACCCCAGCCTGGGCGACAGAGCGAGACTCCATCTCAAAAAAAAAAAAAGAAGAATTAAAATGATAGATCTCTACCCAGTGGTTTGAATTCTGGTCCCATTTGGAAAATTTCTCAGGAAGGATTCACTCATTAATTAAATAATTAAGAACTCTTTCTCTGCGTGTGTAACCTCCTTTCTGGGGTTCCCCAAAGTAGAAGGGCTGCTTAGGTAATGTTTGTTTATTTGACAAGAGTTTAGGCTTATTTTTTCTTACAATAAAAGTATATTATAAAAAATGAGTATAAAGAAAGTAATTAAAAAGGAAGTATCCATGGCCTTTAATTCTGTGACATAAAGATAACAAGCGTGGGCTTTCCGTGTTTGGATCTCGTGGTGAGCACACTCCACGCAGTGTGCATCCTGCTTTCCCACTTACACCTAATTTCGGGCGTTAACACCATTCTTCTTAAGCAACGGTCCCAGAATCTTCCACTACTAGATAGTTTGTTCCCTGTTTGGAGCTATGAGGATCTTTCCATTTTTTTCTCATTACTCCTAATGCTTTTATGTGTATTATTATTATTTTCTTAAAACAGAGTGTCATCATCTGTGGGATCGTACGTTGAAATTTAATCAATTTTAGGTAAAATGATCACTGAATACCTTCTCCAGCAGTGAGCAAGAGTTTCCATTTCAGGGCACCCTTGACACTTCTAAAAGTCTGGGGGTTTTTTTTGTTTTGTTATTTTGAGATGGAGTTTCCCTCTTGTTGCCCAGGCTGGAGTGCAGTGGCTCGATCCTGGCTCACTGCAACCTCCACCTCCCGGGTTCAAGCGATTCTCTTGCCTCAGCCTCCTGAGTAGCTGGGACTATAGGCACCTGCCACCACACCTGGCTAATTTTTGTATTTTTAGTAGAGACGGGGTTTCACCATGTTGGCCAGGATGGTCTCGATCTCTTGACCTCGTGTTCTGATGGTTTGTAAAAAACAATTTGGTAGATGAAAAATGTATCTCATTGATTGAATGCTGCTTTGTCTGTCAGTGAAGTTAGACATCTTATTAGCTTATTTTGTTAATAAGACTTTTTAATTATTCTTTCATGCCCTCCTTCAGTTCATGTTTACACCTGTAACTACTGCAGTCCCATTATTTTTCTCGATGGAATAAGAGAACTCAGCCCAGATTCTTATCCACCCAGAGTATCTCTAGGAGAACTACTTGGTGTCAGCCTTGCAAATACCATTCTCAGAGGTTTTGTGAGCTACCTCAGGTGCGCCCAGATCCCACCAGGTGTCGTGTGTAGCACCCCACGAAGGGAGAGCAGCCAGGGTGTGTGGAGCCATGTCCAACCACGAGAGGGAAGGCTGCTTTTTCTCCTGTTCCCAATCCTTTTCTCTGTCTTTGACTTTCAGCCACCAACTATAGATAGACAGAGATTGGGACCCCAAAACAAAGTTGATTTATTGCAAAATAAATATGTGATATTCTCTCACATTGCCTGTTTCCTTACCTGGCTGGCAGGTCCTCAGAAGTCTGCGCCGTGGCTGGGCACATACCTGTAATCTGAGCACTTTGGGAGGCCGAGGTGGGAGAATCATTTAAGGCCAGGAGTTTGACACGGACCTGAGAAACATAGCGAGACCCTGTCTTTACAAAAAAAAAAAAAAAAGTCTGCACTGCACACGCAGTCCTGCAGGGTTCCCTCCCCTCTCCAAACTGAGGTTGTCAGCGAAACCATGGCAAGTGGCTGAGAGACCTGCAGGTGCTGGACGCTGCCGCTTAGGTGGCAGTAGGCATGGCGGCTGTCAGGCCAAACTCCTCTTTCGTTTCAGAGACACAGGCTGCCTAGGTGGCAGTAGGCATGGCAGTTGCCCGGCCCAACTCTTCCGTTTCAGAGACACAGGCTGCTTAGGTGGCCGCAGGCATGGCGGCTGTCAGGCCAAACTCCTCTTTCATTTCAGAGGCCAGGAGGTCCTGCATGACAAGTTTATTTTGAGCACTAAAGATAACCTGTTAGTTTAATGCAGTGGTACAGTTACTTGTAATTTGTATAGAAACTAAATTTTGACTCCTTTCTAATGAAGTTTGCCTCCAAATGGGCAGAAATCAGTGTCCTGTCATATTATTCCAAGTTAATGAGGCAGACTGCATTTTCCTGTTGTATTATTCCATTAATGTGGCGAACCACAGTTTAAGAGCTGTGATAGATTAGTAAGATCATTTCGTGATTTGGAAACTGTTCCCTTTTTTGTTCTCAAAGTAATTTTCTTCACAAATCCAACTTAAGGTTATATGGTTCAGTGCCTCATTTTGCTGAAGAACCTTATTCCCCACGTGGCTCACCCAAAACCAAGGTTGGTTCTTAGTTGCAGACGTTAGGCTGGAGCCTCCACCGCTTGGCCCCAGCCCCGTGTTCTCGGGTAATGCCGAGCTTACCCCTCCTCTGTTGGGGAGGGGCTGTAGGGACGTGGTGGGGCTCTGCAGTCCTGACTGCCATTGTCTGCTTACGCGGGCCGCACAGCCAGGCCACTGCAACGCCAACCTACTCCTGGTGTGTTGGCCTCTGGACCCACGCCGACAGCCGTGAGCTCACAGCTGCTCCGAGCTTGGAGTCACCTGTTATTCTCCATGTGTGGTCACGAGTGCCCATGCTGGAGGTGAGCTGGAGACCACGTGTGTAAGATGAGCACACACGGGCTGACCCTGGCCAGATGTGAGGGGCATGTCACCAGTCCTGCAGACCAGTAGCTCAGAGACAAGGGCAGCAGTCTCAAAGGGATGACATCCCGGCAGAAAGGTGGACTTGGGGGACTTTCAGTAGCTAGACTGGGGTAAGGTACCACAGTGGGAGGACACTGGGGAAGTTAAGTTGGCCTCAGAGACCACAGAGGCTGTTGAATGCCAGGCGAGTCATGGCTTTTCTACCCACCTCACACTGGGGAGCTTTTGAAGTTTTTTGAGGTGATATGATCAGAAATCTGTTAGTTCAGGATACACGTCCTGAACTAACAGATTTGTGTGTCTGTTAACAGACATGTGTGTCCTGAGGGCAGCCCGGCAGCGTGTGCCAGCACAAAGCCATGCCCCCATGGACACCGCAGCATGTCCAGGGAGGACCAGCCTGGCGGAGGCACATCCTGCAAGGCCATCCTTCACTCATAGTTAAAGCCCCAGGCGGCCTGTGGCCTGCACGCTGCATGTGTGGTCACGCACTGGGAGTCCTGGTGACAGTGTGGCCCGCCTCGCAGATGCTTCCAGTGCACCTGTGGAGCAGGGACGGTACCCATGGCAGGGCTGAGTGGCCTGGGCCGCCTTTGTGGAGCGCCATGGACTATCATGATTCCTTTAAAAAAATCACATGAGTTTGTATTGAATCAGGCCTTCTGGTAGAGACGAACAGGACAAGGTGTCATGGACTGGGAAGTTACGGACATTTTAAAGTGTGAAAAGTGTGTGTGAATGAAGTTTATGGAGAATGGGGAGAAGCTCACAAGTCCCAGAAGTGCTGCTCCATGCCTCACCCAGGGCCCCAGAGGGATGGGCTTGGTCATGGGTGCCGTGGCCTGTGTGGGTCCAGGGGGCCCCAGGGAAGAGGAGTGGTTGGGCTGCTCGAGTCTTTGTTTGCAGAGTCTGACCTCTCACCACCAATACCAGATTCCCCTGGGGTAGGGTTTAACAGGCAGATCGGTGACTCCACTCCTGAGCCGGGTTCTCTGGGGATGCAACCCTTAAATTTGCGTTTTTTCATGACCCTCCCTCTGATTTAAGTACAGGCAAACTGCCAACCTGGTGCTGTCTTGCCACCTTTACATGATGTGTCATTTGGGTTAAGACATTTGACAACTTGCTAATCCTCTGACCATGTGTTCCCACAGGGAGGTGGGGAAGACAGGGCTCCGGCTACCACAGGACGGGCTCTGGGTATAGCCGTTCCAGTCAGGGGCAGCCGTGGAGAGACCAGGGACCAGGTAAGAAGGCCAGTGGTCACTGCTGGGCCACCTGCATGGCACTGCCTCTCACCTTGTGCTTTTGCTGATAACTGCCTTCCTTTCTTTCAGAAAGAGGTTGTATAGTTCCAGTAAATAAACAGATAAGTATACCGATGCATCTAATTTTTATCATTTAGTGAAATAAAAACAAATAATTTCCATGCTTGATGCTAGCCCTGTCTGCTTCTGGCCCCTTTATTCATTTTCTATCAGTTCATTCTGCTCAAGATCCAGTTTTTGTAATTTGCTCGCTAGAAGGCACTTGTAAAGTTTACATGTGGAAGATCCATTGTTCTCATGAAAAAAGGGCAGGTTGTAGTGTTTCACCATAGCCGTGTTCAGGTGATAGCATTCCGATATTTTCCGTGACTTGGATTACAGTGTGAGGTAGAAAATAGCCCCAACCCTGTGTTTTTTACATATATTGTACAGATACCGTTTTAATGCATGTATTATGCTGAATTTAAATACATCGAGAGCTTCACATCAGGATTTGAGCTCAAATTCCTTATAGTTTTGAGAGCCAAACTTCATAAACTTTGAAATTACCTAATATTTATCATTTAATGCCTTAAAAGCCAAATCTACCTTTAATGTATGGTATTTGTGACTTTCACAATGTCTCAAATGTGTAGACTCGCAAGCTGCTCAAATTATTCTCTAAAACACAGCAAGTCTTCGGTGTGAATCCAGTTGACCTTTGGGGTCTGTCTGGGGTGGAGTCTGCATGGAGGCTGCAGGGCCGCATGTCTGTTGAGTACCGTGTCCTTTCCTCTTGGGTCTGTGCAGTCAGCAAACATTGCGAGTGCACTGTATGATTGTTCAGGGTAGATCAGAATTCGTGGTGACTGTGTTTGAAATGTCCTTCCTTGAGAGAGGGCTCCATGAATTTAGGTTTACATGTGCTTGAGATGTTTCCTTGAATGAGCCTAACCTGCAGAAACTCTACCCCACCAAGTCGTGTGCTCACTGTCATCTGGAGCTTCTAGATGGCCCCCACTGAGCATGTGCATTCCATCCTCTTGTGGTCACTACTGCAGTTTAACATAAGGGTCACTTCCACTTCGTCACTGACTAAATCTGAGTATTTATACCAGTGCAGTGCAGCTGAGATCTGGGCAGAAGACCTTCCGTTTGTGCAAGGATATTTGAGATTGCTTTTAACTTAGAAGGTACTGTAGTTGATTGGAGCAAACCACGAACAAGGAAGCTGAAAACAACAGGAGCGGTTTTGTAAACTTACCTAGCCTCAGACTGAAGCCTGGTGCTGGGGGCCGTTGCCGCTGCCCTCGGTGACTCTGGCCTAGGGGTGCAGTCCTGTGCGATGCGTGTGCTGTGGCTTTCCAGTTCGCTTCTCCACTCTGGTTAAGAGTCTGCTTTCGGGTCAGAAACTGCAGCCCTGAGGTGGTGTGTGTGTAGATTGCTCAGCGCCTGTCCTGGGGGCTCCCCGTGGGCTGGGGGCCTACAGTCCTGACCTGGCGGATCCTGGCAGATCTGTCTGCAGCTGGCAGTGCACATTAGGGCTGCTTTGGGAAGAGTGCGGGATCTGGGCTTCTGAGTCTTTGGGGTGAGAGGCCTTCCTCACATGAGCCATGGTGAGGCTGCTCCCAGAGGAAGGTGAGCGTGTGCAGAGCACTTAGGTCCAAATGGGTGGGTAGAGCTTATGCTCCCCCTCCATCCCTCCCTCGCTCTCTCTGCTGCTTTAAATAGCAGATCTGAGATCTCCTTGACAAGGTGATATTTAATCTAAGGCCTGATGAGAGGGTGGGAGCTGATGCCAGACACCTCTGTGCCAGATGTGGAGACAGAGGAGGCAGTCAGAGCTGTCACGAGGTCAGGTGGGCTAGACCTGGAGGGCCCTGCAGCTCTGTGCGAATCTGGAGTCCACCCCAACCAAGAAGCTGGACCCAGGTGATTGCAGCAGGTGGTGAGACCTCAGTGACCACATCCCGTGGAAATGCTCAAGGCCTGCAGACCGTCCACATCCAGCTGATGATGGCACACAGCTTGGTCTAGATCTAGGGTCTAGTAATGTTGGAAATACTGGGTTGACTGATGTGGAGTAAAGCCACTGGGTGTAACGGGCATCCCAGCCTCATCCATCCACACCTTCCCGCCCTGGAGATCCATGACCAGCCTGGCCGTAAATGCCAGGCCAACCTTGATGACATGAAAGGCATCAGCCCCTCCAGGTGAGAATTCAGCAGAACCCACCTGACCCAGTAAGGCAGGCTTGGGGGGAGAGAAGAGCTGCAGCCTCTCTTTCGGGCAGCCTGACTGGGCAGGGCATGCTGTCGTGTCCCCTACTCCTAGCCTCGTGGTAAGAAAGGGGACCTTCTCTTACCCTCTTTGGCTTGGAGTTGTCCCCTTCTTCCCCCTGGGCCTCAGAAAGGTGGGGAGGGGATGGTCAAGAGAGTCCACAGTCCAGATGGGAGGATGGGCAAAGGCTGCGGGTTCTGCAGACAGGTGTGCCCGCCCGTCACGTCACGGAGGAAACGAGAGTGTGCCGTCAGGCCTGCCACTGATGGGACGCGTCGCTGCAGGCAACGCCCTGAACCCTTTCCATCGGGCACATGCCCTGGATAACCTTGAGTATCCTTTCTAGCTCTGGAATTCTGTGACTTTGGATTCTATATATTGAATGGTGGGTGAGACATTAGTAAAGTGTAACTCTCAGGAGCCAGTAAGGAAGGTGGAACCATGTCATAACTCCTAGGAGTGAGTGAGAAAGGTAGAGCTGTGTCATTTACAGACAGATGTACCATCAAGAACATGCCCCGGCCTGCCCTGATCTTAGAAAGTAGGTAGAGTGGGACCTGTTTGGTACTGACTCCTCTGGGAATGGTAAGAGTCACAGGCTTTTCTTTTTTCCCTTTCTTCCAGAGGCGGCCCGCTGTGGTAGCTTCAGACAGGCTGACTTTGTCTCAAGCCCTGGTTCTGTCTCTTCCCAGTGGCCTGCCCTTAGGGGATCCCTGGACCCCTGGGCTGCTCCCTGGCTTTTGATCAGTGTGGCCTGACCAGCTGCAGGGACGGCGCCTCCACAGCACCAGCACCCAGGCGGAGGTGATCGTGGCCGCTTCTTCCAAAACCAAGTTTTTCCTTTCCTGGCATTAATGCTAACATTTCTCTTAATATTTATGTCAAACTGTTTTGTTAAACATAAAGCAATGTCCTACCTCAGTATCGCTGTTCTTGCAGAATGAAGTGAAGCAGGAACAGCACCAAAGCCTGCAGGTGTGGCCTGGAGGGAGCAGAGCCATCTGCTTCTCCCGGGGCTCCCCCAGAGCATAGCCCTGGGTCAGGTGCCAGGAAGCATGCCATGCACATTGGCTTCTTTCTTTCTTTAGTGTGATGGCAGAGACGACAGGAGCATCTTTGAAGTAGACCAGAAGAACCCCCTTCCTTGGATTGACAGGAAACAGGTTTTTTTCTGATTCTGTTAGCAGAGAAGAGCATCCAGAAATTTCTCCTCCTCGTGCAAATTAAAACAGCAGAATGACTTTCCATAGGCAGAACCGTAGCTAGTCATTGTCAGCCCTGGGTCCTTGCCAGGGGAAAGTCTCACTCTTGGAACCCTGTGTGCCTCTGCAGCAGATCCCTCGGCCAGCCAGTAACAGGCACCCCCCAGTCACCCCTGGTCTTGCCAGAAGTCCGGAAGCCACCATGGTTTCCTCGTCCTGCCTGGTGGCAGCTCCTTGGGGCAGGCTGAGCTAAGTCTGAGGGATCTCTAAGTGGCATGCAGCAGCTGGTTGTGTGGGTGAGGAGACAGCCCTCAGATGGACACAGGTTTGGAGGTGACAGGACATGGGGGGCTGGCGGGAGACAGACAGAGGCAGCGTCCCATCAGGACTGAGCTGGAGAGGGAGGCCGTCCAGAAGCTGGCAGAGAAGAGAGGCTCTGAGGACAACTGACAGAAAGGGCCAGGGAGCAGGGAGGAAGGGAGCAAAGGCAGACTGTCCCCGACAGGAGCCAGGACAGGCACTGCCGGTATCTCCGGGAGCGCTTGTTTCTTAATCCTTTCTGCCTGTAATAGTATAAGCTACTGATAGGAAGCAGAAAATATGTACAGACTGAGTATCCCAAGTCTGAAATCCAGAATGCGCCACAGTCCAGAATTTTTACCCACCAACAGGACGCTCAAAGGAAATGCTCCTTGAAGCATTTTGGAATTTCGGACATTCAGATTAGGGTTGCTGAACCCTGGTAAGTATAATGCAGATATTCCAAAATCTGAAAAAAATCTGAAACCTGAACCACTTCTGGTTCCAAGCATTTCAGAAAAGGGTTACTCAGCCTCTAGTAAACAACCCAGGGCTGCCTCCGCAGCCTGTGTCTCTGTGGGTTTGGACGTATGAGTGGCCACAGGCCTCCCCAGGAGGCACTCCTTTCTCTACCCAGAACATGCCATCCTCCCTTGGGACTCCCTGCGCCCTGGGCTCTGTGGCCCCCTGCACCCTGCGTGTCCCACACACAGTCCCTCATTTTCATCTTTGCTGTGTTCCCACTGCTGAGGGTGCTGTGCACGTCCCAGGATGGACCTAAGGAGGCAGACTCAGCAGATGAAGGCCTCTGGTGTGTGTGCCCTCTTGTCTTGCTTTAATACTTGCTTCCTGTAGATTCCTGAATCCCTGAGCTGGTCCACAAAGCTGTGGGGGTGGCAGAGGTTCTCCCTAGGTTCTGCATTTTGCCAAGCTTTCCATAGCATGCCCAGTAATTTGCTTTTAAATCCAGTACGCACATCTGTAAGTACCACTTTAGCACAAGTTTCATTTCTGATACCCATTTATTTAGGATGTCATTGACAAAGACAAATAAAAAGTCAAGTAACCAAAGTGAATTTGTAGCTCTTCCTGACCCAGAAAGGAGCACAGAGGAGATGTGAGCAGTGGGCCCAGGATAAGTGCGGGCACCGCTGGCCCTGCTGAGTGAAGGACGTGAGACCAGGAGAGCAGCTCCACACCTGTCTCTGCCGCCTCATTCCTACGTCACTGTTCAGTGGGCTCTCCCGGGCTCTGCAGAGCCCGCAGCCCTCCAGAAAGGAGGAGACGGTCGGGCTACGTGGCGTGAACTCCAGGTGTAGGGTCCCTTCTCACCGCCCACACGACCACTTAGAATTTCAGGAACTATTGGGCACCTGAAGGAATGTTTGTCAGTCTGGGTGCAAGGCCTAGGGAAGCACGTTTTACCACTTCTGTTCTGGTCACTTAGAAACAATAAAACTGTAATGACCTCAGCAGCTGGAGCCTAACACCACTTCAAGGCCGTGCCCTAGTTTCATAAATAGGTCTTTGACAAAGATCTCTGCTTTATTGGAGTAGATCGTAACAGTAACACAGAAATCAAAGAGTGGTGATGCATGTGGTTTGGGGCCAGAAAGTAGCCCTAGGAGACTCTCAGCTTAAAGGCAGAATGGAGATGTTAAATGCCGAATGCCAGATTTAAGAGTTTAGGAATAAGAGCAGGAGAAATTAAGCGGTTCTTGCAAAATAGAAGCAAGGGTGCTACGTTTCATTTGCATTCTGCCTTCCATGCAGACGTAGTTACAGAAATGACATCGGGGTGCCTGTGTGTATTCTCATTTCAGAGATTCCAGTGTAAAGGGTATGTTATACACATACTGGAATGTGCTTTTCAGACCAAGTAATCCATTTTTTCACTTGTAATTACTGTGAGTGACTTTGGGGCAACACATTTCTTCCTGGGTTTTGCCTACCTTGAACTCCTCTTTTGGTATTTCTTGGAGACATTAAAGTAGTTCAAGTAGAAAGTTGTCACTGTTTCCAGGGCAATTGATAGGTAAAATTCCTTGTGTTAGTAATAACACTAAAAATGCCTCATCATGAAAGTATTCAGTCACTGCCAAAAGGTTGTCAAGTTTCCGGGGCCTGAGTGTGTGGACAGGTAGTGGGGTCCTGGGGAGCCTGAACTCTCTGGTCCACTTCAAAGGCCTCAGAGCTCAGTGCAGGCAGCTGCCCCGAGAACAAAGGCTGCTCAAGTGAGAAGGCTTTAACCTCTTCCTTGCTGTTGCTCAGCCCAGCTGGCAAGAGATGATGTGTTAAATTCCACAGTCCATAGCTACAATTTGCCTGTGACTTTCCAGATTGTCACTTCTCTGTGGTGATTCTGTAGGAGGCCTGCTGTAAAACTGCCTGTGATCATCTGTGATAACAAGGGTGGGGGCAGAGGTAACAAGGGTCTGGAAACCTCACTGTGGCTGTAACCCTCTCCTTTCACACCTTCTGCCGGAGCCCACACTTTTGGGGGGAGTGTGAGAGACCCAGACTGCCCACGGCAGGAGTGGGTCGGAGGAGAGTCGTGGAGACCGTCCCCAGTCACTGCAAGTGAAGGCTCACGCTGTCATACACCAGAAGATAGAGCAGGGAACTCTGGAAGAAAAGTGTTATTTTTAAAATGTGAAAAACTGTCACTGTTTCTACTACGAGGAGGGAGGTTCCGCCCCGAGTCTCTTCCCAACGTTCCCTGTCTGTCAGAAAGGCAGACAGTGGCCACCCACGCTGGGACTGGAGAAGGGAAGTCTGGGCCAGCCACAGAAAGAGCTGCACGTGGGCTTTTCTGTGTTGGCAGAACGTCCACGGTGAGCCATCTGCATGTGAATTTCCATTTCCAAACGTCGTCAGCAATAGTAAATGCCTAGAAATCCCGCAGATGGATGGAGCTGGTGTGAAGAGGAACAACTTCGACATTGTTTCCTTCCACGAACCTCTTAATTAATTGCTTCCACTTTAATGGAATAATTATGGAACACAGTTTTAATGGCATGTGGCCACAACTGTAAAGAGGATGAAGCTCTGTCCTCCAAATACAGCTCAGCATCTTTGTTCATACTTAGAAATGTGCAGCGTTCTTGTTTGTGTATTGAGAGAGATGTATTCTTACTTTGGTTTTCATGTCTGTTTACTGCAGGAAGCAGACAGTATGAGCATGACCAGTGGAGAAGGTACTAGCCGTCCTCCAGGTAAGTTCACCACCCGCATCTCCAGAAGAAATCAGTCACGTCTGCCTTTATAACATAAATCTTCCGTATCACGTACCAAAGTAAACAGGACTCAGATATTGAATCCTGCTGACCTGGTGCCGAGTCAACTTGGTTTCGAGACACGCTTGCTTCCTCCAGAAAGAGCATGGAGAGAAAAAGAGGCACACCTGGACGCAGAGCCCTGCCAGCGCCCTCCTCTGCTGTCGCAGCTGCAAGGAGACCATGCCTGTGGGAGCCGGGCCTCGCTTGCATGAAGAAGGAAAGATGCTTTTTCAGTGGTGCCTCCGCCCATCATGCAGAAGAGCTTTTGTTGGCTTCTCTCCCGAGCTTGTGCCTGATTCTGTGGCCCAAAACAATCATTGTTAATATCTTCGTGTATTTCATTCTGATCTTTCATTCATATATATGATGCCTAGCTAATTTCATTTTAAAATAAATGGGGATCTGTTGTATTCTAATTTTTTATTAACAACACTAGATTATGAGGGATTGTCTCCTGTTATTAGAAAGTCAGAAAACACTATACAGTAGTCCTCCCTTATCTGTGGGAGAGACACCCCAAGACCCTCAGTGGATGCCTGAGACTGTGGATAGTATGTGTGGAACCCTACATATATGTATACACGTGGCTTTTTCCTCTACGTACATACTGTGGCAAAGCTTAACAAGGAACAGTAAGAGATTAACAGCAGTCAATAACTAATAAAAGTTACGTGAATGTGATCTCTCTCAAAATATCATACTGTAATCACCCTTCTTGCTATCTGAAAACCAAGACCACCACTAAGTGACTCATGGTCGGAGAAGCTGGATGCGGGGCTGATTCATGTCCCGGGCATGACAGAGCAGGAGGTACGAAGTTTCATCACACTACTCACAATGGCGAGCAAGTTAAAATGGATTTCCCATTGAATGTTTTCAGACATGAGTGGACCATGAGGAACCAAAACCCCAGAAAGTGAAGCTGGGCATATTTCAGAAATTCTTTTCTAATCAGAAATTCTAATCAAACATAAGTTTCCAACTATGTGTGCTCTTGGTCCTGAGAAGTGTTTGAACAGAAAAGTAACAACTAACTTCCCACCTTTCTGGTGGAAGAGTTAATTCTGCCTGGAGGGTTCTGCCTGGGAGGCATGACAGCATGTGTGTGACTCCTGTGTCTGTTTCTGTGGAGTCATCCCTTTCATTTCATTTTGCCAGGGCCTGGCTCAGGATTTTCAGTGGCAGTGCCTGTGAGGACAGGCCTGGCCCTCCATGCAGTCACACAGGAAATCCACAGAGAACATGCTGAGAGCAGCCGGCGGCTGTGCTGCCAGCAGGCCTGGTTTATGATGCCGCAAGTGAATGGCACGTTTGTTCCTCTTTATCTCTAAGCATTGGAGGCTTTTGTTTTTTTAAAAAAATTAAGTTCAGAGTAATCCTTTTCATGGAAGAATCTTCAGGTCATCCAAGAATTGAAATTTTAAGCCCCAGATTGTACGGAGCTGTACCTGTGGCGAAAGGAATGACCAGGGTGTTGATGATAGGAAAGATTCAGATGAGGAGTTAGAAAGCCAGCCCTCTGTGGGAGGCCGTCTTCCAGAAACCTCGAACTCATGTCTCTCTCCACCTGAGAAAGGAGAGGAAAAGCTGGTGTGACCCCCCGTCCCGCTGGGCCACGCTGTGGCTCTGAAGGTGCCCAGGGTCCTTAGGAGTGCTCACTTCTGTCACCTGAAGACACTTCCTTCTGGTTGTTGCTCTTTAAAAACAAAATAAGCCCCTGAACGTGCTTGCAGGCCCGTTTGTGTGCCTGCAGTTGACGAATTACCTTGACCAACAGGCCAAAGGCACAGAGCTCCAAAGCGTCATCTTTCCTTAAAATCCTGAGCGTTTACTAAAAAGGGACACGGCCTCTGGGTATTTTATGACATTTGTATTTCTTACATTTTAAATACCCTAACCACTCCCTTCAGTTTCTTCTTAAGGACATTTACATCTAATTATTTTCCATGCAAGTCTTGTAGGACCCACATTTTTGCTAGCTTTGGAAATAGATTTTTTTCATTGCTCTTGTGAGGATTTCCCCATGTCAGTAAACATTAACTTGCTATTTCTTCCATCTTTGCTTATTTGAAACCCTGCTGCTTCTAGATCTATTTCTTTGCATTTGTATAACTTTGAAATAAATTCCTCATCCCTTAGACTAAGAGAGTGGGCATCTCTGAAAATTGTTTTCTCCTTCATAATACCTAAATTCTAGTTTGTCAATGAAATATTTGTGTTTGGTTAACAAGCCTTATTTAAGCCATTAAGTTAATATAATCTTCATTACACTTGAAAAACCAGAGAACTGAATTTTTTGTCATTCCAATATGTAAGTTAACACTGCAGTCAAGTCTTATGATGAAATTTCCATGTATCAAATTGAAAGTAAAGCAAAATATGTTTATTACTCATAATTAATATACTTTCACATTTCTTTGATTCTTTGTAAGACATTTCAGCATGTGGATGTGGGGAATGGTGAGCCTGCCCCAGAAACATCTCCCTGCTGCCACCATGGCCACGGCTCTGTGGTCTTTCACTGACTCCTGAAACTCCACGTAAATCTACCGTCACCCACCCTGTCTTTGACCGTTCCCTTCACCTTCCTGCTCACAGAAAGCTGGCGTTTCCCCCATACCTTGGTGCATAGAGCCGATGCCCCTCACATTCTTGGCCTGTTTCCAGGCTGTTGTAGTCGCTTCAGCATGTAGTGGTGCAGAACACCCATTCACTGTGCTTATGGATTCTGGGCGTTGAGTCCAGGCAAGGCATGGCAGGCATCACCTGTCCTGGCTCCCATGTCTGGGCTTGGCTGGAAGACCTGGAGTCGGACACATATTCGTTCTTGCTTGTATCTGGCTGATGCTGGCTCTTAGATGAGGCTTTTGTCTCTCCATGTGAGCCTCTCATTGGTCCTGAAGACTGGTTAACTGATAACTGGATGGTAACTGGATTCTGAACACAAGCATCCCAAAGGCTAAAGAGCCAGGTAGAAACCATGTTACTCTTCATAGCCCAGCCTCCGAAGTCACAGCATTCAACATCTCTTCTACCATATCCTGTTCATCAAGGCAGACCAAAAAAAAAAAAAAGTCCAAATTCAGATGGAGATGAAGTAGCTGCTTCCTCTTGACTGAGCAGGACAGAGTCCCAGGAAATCATGTGAGACCAGAAGTATTACTATGGCCGTTTTTGGAAAATAGTCTTCTGCACAGACCATTTCCCCTTCTCCATTAAAGCAACAAACTTGGAATCTCATCATCCAACCCTGCCACCCACCAGTCCTCCTTGTTGGCCTTCGGGTTCCTGGCTGTCACTCTTCCCAGTATGACTCTTGTAATAGTTTCTGGCAGCCTTAGTATCCTGTAGCTGATCCTTCCGGTGCCCTGATCTCAGTTTCTTGATGTCCCCTCCCAGTGATCTTGTTCCCCACCTTTGGCCTTGTCATTACCAGTAACTCAACTCCTTCACAGTCTCAGTCCCCAGCACTCTCCAGCCACACAGCTCGTTACCTCTGGCACACGGTGATTCCTCAGTCAGACAGGAGCTGGGTCCATTGACCCAGCACACTGCAGCCAAGTGCCCGTCATCGGCCCTGGTCCCTTCTTCACCTGTCCTCCCCTATCTGCTGACTTCCGTGGCCAGTAATGGAAGTGACTTTCTTGTATACACTACTTTGCCTCTCTTATTTTATTGTGTCTATGTGATAAAACCACACACCTCTGTTAAATCCAACTCTGCTTTTAGAATGTGGCTAGAGAAAATTCCACAGTCATCATTACTGGTCCCACCTTAAATCCAGTGAGCCCTGGGTGCTGCCCGGTGGCCATTCCCCACTTCCCCCCGCTCTTCAGATGGTTGGTTCGTGTCCTCTGCTCAACCCTCCAGCACTTCTCCTGTCCTCAGTCACAGGTGACAACTTTGCTTTCTGTAAGTTCTCACACCCATATTTGCTACCCTTCAAGCATCTGCATCATCAAGTCAGAATTCATAAACAGAATACCAGTAGAAATAGACAAATCCACAACAGAGGAAGGAAGTATCCACTTTTTAACCTACCCACATGGATGAGCTCACTCTGCTCCTACTTAAGGCCATCTCTCCAGCTGTGAACCCAGGGTCCCTCAGCTGCTCAGACAGCCCCTTGTCCCTGAGTCATCAGCGGTGTCCCCTCCATGCTGTCCATCCCATCTTACAGAAAACCTCTGCAACCTGCTTCTCACTCCAGCGGCCACATCATGTTTCTTTATAGAAAAATAATGTTGAGCCCAGAATCCTAAGGTCAGCCAAATTAGCATTCTACACTAAGAGGAAAAATTAACACATTTTCAGGAATCAGAAATTCTTTGACCCATAGATCCTTTCCAAGAGAAACTGGATAGCAAAATGAGCACATCTAACAGGAATACATGGGCAATGAGAAACAATGTTGAGTACAGAAGTTAGTAAAATTTCAGTCATTGCTAAGCAACTATTAACCCAAAGCAAAGAAGCCGAACAATTGGAGACTAAATTTCCATATTATTTCAAGGAAAGAGATGAATGAGGGCAATGAGATAAAAAGAAAAAAGCATACTAAATTTCTTACCTTGCTTAGAAAGGACACAAATTTTTATTAAATCTGGATTTTTTGGAAAAATGTAAGTTTATGTATGCTGAAATGTTAAGTGTGCACATTAAAAGAAGAAAAGTAAATAATAAAAGGAAAGTCTTAAAGCTATCATCCTCATGCATCTGGCATAATAAATGAAAATTACAAGCAAAATACAAGGAGAAATAGACTCAGTAGTAGGACACTTAACATGCATTTCACTCTCAGAAATCAAGATTTCATAAAACCAAAAGAAATGACATACATTTGAGTAAGTAAACAAGCTTATTCTAATAGAAATATACAGAACAAATAGATACCTTTTTATTAATATTCTCAAACACAGATGGACAGTTCACAAAATTTAACCATGTAGTAGACCCCAAAGTAAACCGCAGTCAAAATACTGAAAAGCCAATTTACTGAAATAACACAAGCCTATTTTCTGCCCTTAAGAAAATAGAGACCGGGAGCGGTGGCTCACACTTGTAATCCCAGCACTTTGGGAGGCTGAGGTGGGTGGATCACCTGAGGTCAGGGGTTCGAGACCAGCCTGGCCAACATGGAGAAACCCTGTCTCTACTAAAAATACAAAAATTAGCTGGACATGGTGGTGGGCGCCTGTTGTCCCAGCTATTCAGAAGGCTGAGGCAGGAGAATCGCTTGAACCTGGGAGGTGGAGGTTGTAGTCAGCCAAGATTGCGCCACTGCACTGCAGCCTGGGTGACAGAGCAAGACTCTTTAAAAAAAAAACAAGAAGAAGAAAAGAAAAATAGAATGAGAAATCAACAACAAAAGGATAAAAAGCAAAAATTTTTCCACTTAGAAATTAACTCATCATTTAAAAATGTGTATTGAGGAAATCAAAACCAAAATTACTTTTACAAATAGAAGTGTTACCTTAAGAAATTCATGGGAGGGGAATGATGTCAGAGAAGATGGCAGACCTGGAAGCACCAGGGATCTGTATCCTCACCTAGACAAAAATGGCACTGGCAGAAACTAACCAAAGTAAGTATTTTGGAACTCGGGAGTCTACTTGACAACTTGCAGCCTCTAATGGGAAGCTTGCCTGGTAAGTTGTGGTTAGTTTCCATCAGTTTTGGATGCCTGGTTCCCAAGTGCATGGTAGACAGTCATGCACACATTCCTGGTGCAGTTTGCTGGAGCCAGGATGAGCAATAAGGACCCTGGCTAAAGCATCTTCATGGGATCTAATGGAGGGACACTGGTGAGTTTCTATTGATTTGTTTTTGCTTTTTGGGGGAGTCAGGCATTTAAGGATCAGGACATTCAAGAGCAACCATATATAAGAGAAAATTTAGAAAGCTCCAGCACATGGCCAGGGGAGTGGCAGGTTCAGAAAAAAACTAAGAAGAACTGAGACGTTTTTTCCTCAGGCTGGTCTTCACCACAGAGGCACCCTTTAACAAAAAGCAAACCCAAGGGGAGGAGGATTATCTGATTTCCAGAGGTACAACGTTATAAGATTCAAATGTCTGTTTTTCAGCGATAAAGAAAATTACATGGCATACAAGAAACAGGAAAGTATAGCCCATTCGAACAAAACAAAAAATAAATGGCAGTAAATATTTGTGAAGAAGCCTAGATGTCAGACTTAGTGGACAAGACTTTGAAACAGCTATCTTAAAGATGCTTAAAGAAAACATGGACAAAGTCCATTGAAAATGGACTCAATAAGGATAAATTACAAATAGGATCCAAAAAGAAATTCTAGATCTGAAAAGAACAGTAACTGAAATGAAAATTCACCAGAGGAGTTCAGAAGCAGATTTGAGCAGACAATAAAGGATCAGCAAACTTGAAAACAGGAAAATTATTGAGCCTGAGAAATGGAATGAAGAATGAAGAAACGTGAACAGAGCTTAAGGAACCTGGGAAACAGCAAGTGGACCAACACACACATTTCAGGAGTCTCAGAAGGGGAAGAGAGAGAGAAATAGAATAAATAATTCTGAAAACTTCTCCTATTTGATAAAAGACATAAATCTGCAAATCCAAGAAACTCAACAAACTCCAGCTAGGATAAACTTGGAAAGAGACTCATACCGAGACACATTATAGCCAAACCATTGAGAGCCAAAGACAATCCTGAGAGTGAGAAGTTACCAATCAGATAGATTACAAGGGACCTTCAATAGAATTATTGCCATTTTATCAGAAACTTTGGAGGACAGAGCACAATAGGTAGATACATTTAAAATGCCGAAAGAAAAAACACTGTCAACTGAGAATTGTCTGTCTGGCAAAACTATCCTTCAAAAATGAAGGAACCACTCCCAAATAAACATAAGCTGAGGGAGTTCATTACCACTAGACTTGCTGTGCAAGAAATGCCAAAGGGAAATCCCTCAGGTTAAAATTAAAGGGCCCTAGACAGTAACTTGATGCCTGGTTCCCAAGTGCCACATGAAACAGTAAAAAATCTCCAGTAGAGATAAATATATGGGGAATTTTAAAAGCTAGCATTATTATAATTTTGGTTTAGAACTGCACTTTTTATTTTCTATATGATTTGAAAGACAAATGCATAAGAAACAACTGACTAATCTACATTATTGAGTTCACAGTGTATAAAGATGTCATTTGTTTCAACATTGTCTCCTACAATAATTCATTAGCTTGATTTCCCAGCCTACTTTTTTTTAATTTGAGGTTTAATTTTTTTCAAAGTAAAACATTCACATAGTTTAGAGAGTCAAATAGTTCTATAGGCTGTTTTTAAAAGCAGAATAATTTAGAAATTATTCTGTGTTTCCCAGAAACACCTACTTATACTTTCAGCTTTTCAGATGATTATTT